GAATGGATGCGACGATGATGGAGGTGGGCGGAGGACGAAGAGTGTTCCACTCGGGGGGGAAAAGCGATAGGTTGGTCAGAACTTCTAGCGTGTCTAATTTGGGATTGTTTTTATTTTCTAGTATTTATTTTGTTGTTTCTCAAAGGACTGAGCTCCAAAATTTATCCTCCTAAAAAAAAATAAAAATAAAAATAAATTATCCTCCTTGTTTATCTGATTCCGTCAGGACTCGAACTGATCGTGTGGTCGTCAACAATTGCATAGGCGTAGTACTCCGCGGCGCGCAGTCACATGTGGTGCGCGAGTGGATTCCCGCCATCCCCCCTCCTGCTAGGATCAGGGGAAAATTTCGAAGGGGGTGCGCGAGTGGATTCCCCCCCTCCCCCCTCTTGCCCCCTCCCTCTACGCAGCTCCTCGAAAACGTCTCCCCCCGCCCCCCTCCCCCCTCCCCCCCGCCTTTCCCCCCTCTCCGTTCAATCTGCTCACGTGCGGTGTTGCCGTGGGGGGGGATGCGGCCATGCCTCCTCTATCAGGGCATACTCACTCTAGCAGTCTCCTGAATGCATCTGACCGCAGTTGCCGACCGACCTGGATGCATCTGACCGTAATCACGTCCAGAGCTCGGTCGAAAAAGTCCTACCTAGTGTGAGTATGCCCTCAATCACCGTTAGCGGAGCGTGTCCTGCTGGAGCGTCAGAGTGGAATTGTCATCTTTTTTTTTATTTTTTTATTTTTTTTATTTTTTTAAGTGGAATTGTCATCATTGGATGATGGGAGGCAGGTTATTAGTTCTTTTTGTGCTATGGATGTTTTGAGTTTATCAGTTCCTATCAATCCATTCTTACAGTAGTTAGTCAGCTAGTTGAATTACCAAGGGCCTTGCTGCACTACTGTCGACATGCACAAAAGACAAAAATCATGGCGGTGTATCTTTCCATATTCTAGCGGAAGGCTCACTCTCGTTTTGCACATTTCGAGAGTAGTGCAGCGAGGGCCCAATTGAGCATAACAAGGTGTAGCGCAGTCTGGTCGCGCATCTGTTTTGGGTACAGAGGGTCATACGTTCGAATCCTTGTCACTTCTTCCCCCTCCCCCTACCCTTCCCCTCCACGCCCCCCCCCCCACAAAAAAAAAAAAAAAAAGAAACGAAACCAGGGTGCGTGACCTAGGTGAGGTGGCACAAACATGAGCCGTTGAAGCATAGACGTAAGTTGGAATCCCCATATACGGTCCGTAATGAACAGAGTAAGAGTAAGAGCATTCTGAACCACGTGAGGCCGGTCAGTCCAATGATGAGATCGCAAGGCCGTCGCCCTCCCTTCTTCTAAAAAGAAGGGGAAAAAAAAAGAAAAAAAAAAAGAGAAGGGGGAAAAAAGACAAACTTTAAGGCGGTTGTGCTCAGAACCGTTAGTCTGTTCCCTTTTTTCCCCCAATGATCTCTTTTTTTTTTTTTTTTTTGTCTTGGGTTCCCCATCACAGCTCTCTTACTGTGGAAGGGAAGGGAAGGGATAATGGGCCTCGCTGCACTACTCTCGAAATGTGCAAAACGAGAGTGAATCTTCCGCTAAAACAAGGAAAGATACGTCGGCATGGTTTTTGTCTTTTGTGCGTTTCCCGAGTAGTGGAGCGACGGCCAATATAAAAAGTACAGGAGAACCGACGGGCCTACGGTAGGTAGGTAGCTGAGTTGGTACATCCACGAATAAAACCCTCATTTTATTGAAACTTCAAAAACAGACCTGAGTTCGAATCCAGATGCGCAACCACTGGAACAGACTCAACAGAGTAAATAATTCTGAGTCACGTCGGGCTGGTCAGCTCAATGATGATGATGATAGCTCAAGGCCATCGTCGCGCTTTTGGACCAAAAGATAAAATACGGGACTAAAAAAAGAGCCAGTAAATAGAGAAACAAAAAACTAAACTAGTAAGTAATAGTAAGAGTCCTTCGGGACATCCGTTCAAATTGGAACGATACAGAGAAGGGTAAGTTTAGCAAATGGTCCCTGAGCAAGGATGACTCGCATAAATCGAGAAATGGTAATGAAATGAAAAAAAACAAAAAAAAGTATTAAGAAATTTAATTGACGAACGATGACGTGTCACATTAGGTCGTCTTTGTTTAGTGTTTTTTTTGCTTTTCAGATATTTCGCTTTTTTTCCTCCTCCCGAAGAAAAACATGACTTTTTTTTTTACTGGAAATGAAAGGCTGGATGTGCGTTCGCGGAGAAGAGAGAGAAGAGGGGGGAAGTGTGTAAAGAGAGGAAGGAAGGAGTAGTGGCGAACACGGAAGAAGAGAGAGAAGAGAGAGAAGAGGGGGGAAGAGAGAGAAGAGAGAGAGAAGGGGGGGAAGAGAAAGAATGGAAGGAGAACAGGGGGGAAAGAGAGTTTTGAAGGAGCGCGGCGTTTGCTGCTGACGGAGATCGAAATAACAAGATAGAAAACAGTGAAAAAAATGAAAATAAAAAATTGAAACAAAACTATACGATTGATGAATCTTGTACCCCCTGACGGATCGCAGATTTGGGGTCCAGGACATACAAATTTTCTGACATATTGCAGCTAAGCACCTAACCCCGCGCGCGCGCGCGCGAAAGAGAGAGAGAGAGAGAGAGAGAGAGAGAGAGAGAGAGAGAGAGAGAGAGAGAGAGA